CGAGAGGAAAGATTTGACACTATTTTATTTGAGAATTTGCCTTGCAAAATATGTAGGAAGGTAGAACTATGATTCAATTATTAAAGGTTTTGTAAGTAGCTTTTTCTAAAATTTGACACTCCCACCCACAGGGATGGTTTTTGGAAGCAGGAGATAAAGGGGAAGAATTCAATCACACTTCCTAAAATGGAAGCTAAATTCCCTAAAAAAGTGTGGATAATAGTGAATGGTGGATTTTTCAACAAAACGAATTTGATTTAATTATTTAATTTAAACAAGCTTATTTACATCGAATATAACCCCTGATTGTTATTAAAAATAACTATTTCTATGTATATACCAAACTTGCGTACGTCAGACGGCGCATAACTCGAGAATGGATGGTCCACTTTGAACTTTTTTTAATGTATTTGTTTGCCAGATGATGGATATGAAGAAGCTATTTGTTTGTGGAAATCTTATGCAATATTTACTTAAGAAAACGATAAATAAAAAAATGTTGAGCTTACATTTCTTTCGCGTTTATGGCTCGATTGCTTCGAATATGGTAATTCGAATTCTTTGATGTCGCACTTTTAATGTTCTGGGGAGATTACGCCACTGTCAGAATATTAACCATTGGCTTACACAATTGGCGATTCGTGCCGGACGAACTCAGGAAGAATAAAAAGAGCACGCAGCTACTGAACGACTGAGACAGGGAACGTGATCTACATCGTCAAATGAGAAGTGTCGTAAGTGTGCAATTACATCGCGCCATTGACTAAACCGAGCTGTCGTATGGCGATTGGGCCCGTGGATACGGTTTGGCAATATTATATTGCGTCAAAGTCTCATTCGGAGACACCAGGTTTGTGTTGTGGAGGACAATACCTAAATACCTTCGTTGGCTCATTTACCAGAACCATTGCGCGCTTTACTTTACAGCGACTTGGAAGAATGAAGAGGTCTCCACGAATATCGACAAATACATTTCGGCATTTAAGGGAATTTCGTCTCTTTAGCCAACATTGAATTTCTGTAGTCCAACGATTCTCACCCATTTTGTCTTGTTGCCGCCAGCGAATGAAGAACAAACATTTCTTCAAATTTAAAAAGTAAAAATTTCACTACTAAAAATTTAAAAGTGTTCTTATAACTTGCAAAGAAATTTGGAAAAGAAATATCACTGCTTTTGTTTTTAGGAGTAGGGTGGGAGTGTCATTGATAAAACAAGAGCGAAAGAAAGTTTTTCTTACAAACCCTTTCATTATTGAATCATGGGTAGAACCGTTCTCTTAATTTGTCGGCCATGATTTTTTTTGAAGTTTGCCAGCATTTTAAAATCATATAAAAGGGAAAATAAAAACAAATTAAATTGCTTAAAAGTGCTGTTGTTTGAGATTGAAAATGTGAATGTGTGTGTGAATTTGTGAGTAAATTTTAAAATTATAAAGCTTGAAAACGTCAAAATGGCTAAAAGTGTCTCCAGCGGTTCTACCTTACTATTTGTATCATGGTAACAAGAGCGAGAATAAAGATTTGACACTATTTTATTTGAAAATTTGCCTTGAAAAATTTCTATAAGATAACTGCATGCCAAGAAAATACAGAAAATAAAGCGAGAAAGTTGCTTTATTGCTACAAAGAGAGAAATGTTGAAATCACTTCTACCTTGTTGAACATGCCTTGTATTTGACCAAGGCATATTATAGTTGCGATCCCGTACGAGTCCGGACTAGTCAGAAATAGTCAGAATCAGTCAGATTTTACTGGAAATCGATCCCGTACTCGGTTCTCTGACTATTGAGAGGACAGAAAAGAGAGTAAATACGGTTCTCTCTCTGTCAGAAGTTACCAGTTTTAGTCCGAGAATTTTTTGCTGGTAAATTCTGGTAAATGTGTCAAACGATCAGCTGTAGTGTGTTTGGCAACCAAATTGTAAACAAAAGAAAAGTGCACTGCTAATTCATGTTGAAAAGTATTTAATTACTTGTTTAAGTGGATTCTAATGAATTTGAAAGTATTTTTGGTTATTTACATGTGTGAGCTGGATGTGTTTACATACAAAATAAGCTAAAATATACAACCAAAATTTGGAGGTTATGTTGAAGTTGACAGAAGTTACCATTTTTTACTAGAAAGCGATCCCGTACTTTTCAATGCTACTCTCTCGCTCTGAGCAAATTTTTATTCTTTGACAGTTTTACTAGTCCGAGTCCGATGAATACGGGACTGCACCTTAAATAAGGTAGACGTGATTTTGATATTTCTCTCTTTTGAACACCGACTATAATGTCAAATGATGAATAACTTTTAACCCTTTTCAAGTTGGCATTTTATATTTTTCATTAAAAATTCAATTGCGTGGTGTGAGATAGTTTTTGAATTGTGTAAATCNTCTTCAAATTTAAAAAGTAAAAATTTCACTACTAAAAATTTAAAAGTGTTCTTATAACTTGCAAAGAAATTTGGAAAAGAAATATCACTGCTTTTGTTTTTAGGAGTAGGGTGGGAGTGTCATTGATAAAACAAGAGCGAAAGAAAGTTTTTCTTACAAACCCTTTCATTATTGAATCATGGGTAGAACCGTTCTCTTAATTTGTCGGCCATGATTTTTTTTGAAGTTTGCCAGCATTTTAAAATCATATAAAAGGGAAAATAAAAACAAATTAAATTGCTTAAAAGTGCTGTTGTTTGAGATTGAAAATGTGAATGTGTGTGTGAATTTGTGAGTAAATTTTAAAATTATAAAGCTTGAAAACGTCAAAATGGCTAAAAGTGTCTCCAGCGGTTCTACCTTACTATTTGTATCATGGTAACAAGAGCGAGAATAAAGATTTGACACTATTTTATTTGAAAATTTGCCTTGAAAAATTTCTATAAGATAACTGCATGCCAAGAAAATACAGAAAATAAAGCGAGAAAGTTGCTTTATTGCTACAAAGAGAGAAATGTTGAAATCACTTCTACCTTGTTGAACATGCCTTGTATTTGACCAAGGCATATTAANGGAACGTGATCTACATCGTCAAATGAGAAGTGTCGTAAGTGTGCAATTACATCGCGCCATTGACTAAACCGAGCTGTCGTATGGCGATTGGGCCCGTGGATACGGTTTGGCAATATTATATTGCGTCAAAGTCTCATTCGGAGACACCAGGTTTGTGTTGTGGAGGACAATACCTAAATACCTTCGTTGGCTCATTTACCAGAACCATTGCGCGCTTTACTTTACAGCGACTTGGAAGAATGAAGAGGTCTCCACGAATATCGACAAATACATTTCGGCATTTAAGGGAATTTCGTCTCTTTAGCCTACATTTAATTTCTGTAGTCCAACGATTCTCACCCATTTTGTCTTGTTGCCGCCAGCGAATGAAGAACAAACATTTCTTCAAATTTAAAAAGTAAAAATTTCACTACTAAAAATTTAAAAGTGTTCTTATAACTTGCAAAGAAATTTGGAAAAGAAATATCACTGCTTTTGTTTTTAGGAGTAGGGTGGGAGTGTCATTGATAAAACAAGAGCGAAAGAAAGTTTTTCTTACAAACCCTTTCATTATTGAATCATGGGTAGAACCGTTCTCTTAATTTGTCGGCCATGATTTTTTTTGAAGTTTGCCAGCATTTTAAAATCATATAAAAGGGAAAATAAAAACAAATTAAATTGCTTAAAAGTGCTGTTGTTTGAGATTGAAAATGTGAATGTGTGTGTGAATTTGTGAGTAAATTTTAAAATTATAAAGCTTGAAAACGTCAAAATGGCTAAAAGTGTCTCCAGCGGTTCTACCTTACTATTTGTATCATGGTAACAAGAGCGAGAATAAAGATTTGACACTATTTTATTTGAAAATTTGCCTTGAAAAATTTCTATAAGATAACTGCATGCCAAGAAAATACAGAAAATAAAGCGAGAAAGTTGCTTTATTGCTACAAAGAGAGAAATGTTGAAATCACTTCTACCTTGTTGAACATGCCTTGTATTTGACCAAGGCATATTAAAGTTGCGATCCCGTACGAGTCCGGACTAGTCAGAAATAGTCAGAATCCGTCAGATTTTACTGGAAATCGATCCCGTACTCGGTTCTCTGACTATTGAGAGGACAGAAAAGAGAGTAAATACGGTTCTCTCTCTGTCAGAAGTTACCAGTTTTAGTCCGAGAATTTTTTGATGGTAAATTCTGGTAAATGTGTCAAACGATCAGCTGTAGTGTGTTTGGCAACCAAATTGTAAACAAAAGAAAAGTGCACTGCTAATTCATGTTGAAAAGTATTTAATTACTTGTTTAAGTGGATTCTAATGAATTTGAAAGTATTTTTGGTTATTTACATGTGTGAGCTGGATGTGTTTACATACAAAATAAGCTAAAATATACAACCAAAATTTGGAGGTTATGTTGAAGTTGACAGAAGTTACCATTTTTTACTAGAAAGCGATCCCGTACTTTTCAATGCTACTCTCTCGCTCTGAGCAAATTTTTATTCTTTGACAGTTTTACTAGTCCGAGTCCGATGAATACGGGACTGCACCTTAAATAAGGTAGACGTGATTTTGATATTTCTCTCTTTTGAACACCGACTATAATGTCAAATGATGAATAACTTTTAACCCTTTTCAAGTTGGCATTTTATATTTTTCATTAAAAATTCAATTGCGTGGTGTGAGATAGTTTTTGAATTGTGTAAATCTTTTTGTTTTTCGACCACATCCATTTATAGATACATATACAAAAATGAAAAGGAGCAGGCACTACGAGCGTTGCGCTGTGTGCCAAGAGCCAAGACGTTAAAGTGGTGCGATAATTTAAGGCGCCTAGTTACGAAGTTAGAAAGCTTCATTGGGATAACAGCTGCGGTGTTCAGTTGAAAGATTTTTCTCGTGTCTGTGAAAATCATTTCAACGCGAATGATTTTATTATTGGCCCATTGCAGGCAAATATTTTTAAGCGTATGCGTTTATACCCATTTACTGTTCCCATGCTCTGGGAGGTTCCTGTGCCAGAAATGCCTGAAGCACACGAAAATTCAGAAGTGACGATATCATCTGTTGAACGCAAACTGAGTAAAATGGCCCATACATGATACCAGCAATTTTTAACAACTTAAACGGGAAAGAGATCTGTCATTGCAACAATTTTATCAAGAAATTGTTAGAGTTAATCTTCATATGCCTAAATTTACAAGAAAATATTAAATAACACAGGTTTACAAAAAAAGTGTATGCATATTAAACAAAACCTATATATCCCTATGTTATTCGAAATGCTAAATGCGAATCCGAGGTCTGTTAGCCTCAATCACGTCCGGCTCGTGGTCATTTGAAGGTCATGTAGGGAAAAATTCACTGAATAAACCTGAAAATGCAATAAAAGTCATCGGAATTTGGCCTTGGGATGACCTTGGCATGACCTCTAGATGACCTTGAGGAATCAAGGGGCTCGGTTTCAGCGACAACAAAAACAAAATCTTTTATTTTTATTGAATAATTTTTTTGTCTTATTTGACCTTCAAATGACCTCAAATCTGACATAATGGAGGTTAACGGACCTCGGATTCAGGTTCAGCGAATTTAAAACTTTATATATATGAATTTTCAGGTTTATTCAACGACATGATGGAGTCTAACTGACTTCGGATTCGCATTCAGTGTGTCGAATAACATAGGGATATATAGGTTTGGTTTAATATGCATAACCTTTTTTTGGTAAACCTGTGTAATTTTTTTATAAGTACCGGATGTTTTACGTGGTTTTCTTTATGAGGTATGCAATTAAAATTCTTTGAAGGTATATTAAAGTAATTCTTAAAATTAGTATACGTAGTTCAAAGAGAAAAAACTGGCGGCGGTTCGCCAGTGTGGTCAGTAACAAACTTGGCGAACATAACTATAGATAATTGGAAGATATAGAAATCAAGTGCAACAAATTCGTAAAGGCTATGGGAACGGCTTTTAAAGTCTCCTGCACCGTAAGTTTCGGCCGGAAGCAATATCCTCTATAGTGGGGAGGGAAGATCTTGGAACTCAGGAAAGAGTCTCGTAAAGCTTTCAACTTAAGCTATTAAACGGGCGACTGGCAGCCTTATGAAGATAGCTTGAGAATTTACAAGAAGGCAATTCGCAAAGCAAAACAGGAATCCTGGAGGGATATCTGCTCTTCTATAGAATCATGTCGGCCGCTGTGGTGTAGTGGTAAGCAGTGGTGAGCAGTGCGCGCTTCCACTCCGCAACGCCTGGGTTCAAACCCTGGTCAAAGCAACATCGCAAAAAATATAGAAAAAAGGTTTTTTCTTAACAGCGGTCATCCCTCGGCAGGCAATAGCAAATCTCAGAGTGTATTTCTGCCTTGAAAAACAGCTTCTCATAAAAATGCAATCGCCGTTCGGAGTCGGCGTAAAACTGTAGGTCCCTCCGCTCTGTGTGACAACATCAAGGCGCACGCCACAAATCGGAGGAGAAGCTCGGCCAAACACTAACATATGTGTAAGCGCCAATCTATTATTATTATTATAGAATCAACGAAAGAATCCCCCAGAATGGAGAGGATCCTATCCAAGGAACACAGCAGTTCTTCCTTCCTAAAAAAGGAAGATTGATCAACAGTTCTAATGTGGCATTAGAACTCCTTCTTCGTACCCATTTTCCAGGCTGTGACCTAAACCAGGTCTCAGGGGTAGATAGCAACGTAGCGGCACCATCCATTAATGTCGCTAACGAAATTATCACGCGGGAAAAGATTGCATGGACAAGATGGATAACATGGACAAGTGTTAAAGAAGTTTGCATTCCCAAGGTAGGCAAGAGAGGACATACGGTGCCTAAGGACTTCAGACCCATCTCTCGTCTTTTGTACTGAAAACTTTCGAGCGGCTCCTGGACTTGCAGAAAAGGAGAATTGTCTACTGCACAGCATGCTTACCTAAAAGGGCGCTCCACAGAATCTGCGCTACATAAGGTTATACACAAGGTTGAGTCATCGCTGGAAAACAAACAATATACGTTGGCGGCCTTCCTGGACATAGAACGGGCGTTCAACAACGTTATCCTGGAGGCGATAGAGCAGCCACTCAGAAACCTGGGGATTGAGAACTTCCTGGTAAACTGGATCTCTACCATGTTTCGTACAAGGATTTTAACCGCTAAGTTAGGCACCAGCGTAGTCATCAGTCATCCAAAACGGGGGACTCCTCAAGGCGGGGTACTGTCGCCGCTGCTGTAGCTTTGCATACTAAACAACATTGTTGTAAGACTCAACAGGGAGGGGGTCAAAGTTTTCGCGTATGCAGATGATGTAGTGATTATGGTATCCAGATTGTGCATAAATGTGATAAGCGAAATGCTTCAAAGAGCACTAGGGAAATTGGGTTCTTGGGCAAATAGCTGCGGGCTCAAGGTTGATCCCTCGAAGACCGAATTATTATTATTCACTATAAAGAAAAATATTCCTATTTTTACCCTACCTGACTTAAATGGGAATACTCTTTCTCTTTCCCCTTACGCTAAGTATTTGGGAGTCATTCTCAAGTAAAAAAGGTCTTCCTTCAAGAAAATGCTGGGTAAGACATGCGGCCTACGACCTGATCTTATGCTACGGATGTACAAGGCAGTGATTCGCCGAATTATTGCATACGATTCGCTGGTTTGGTGGAAAGCCGTAGAGATGAACTACATACGTACAATGTTAGGCAGGGTACAAAAGTCAGCATGCATTGCGATTACTGGGGCGATGAGATCATGTCCAACGGAAGCATTGAACGTCATCTGCCATCCGCTACCAAATGACCCCTTTTATCAAGAAAAGTGCTATTATGGTGAGGGAAGTTAGATTGTGGGAAGAACGTACGTATGGGTATGGACGTATCCTGCATTCTTCCTATTCCAATTTTTACTGATCGCTTCGAAATATCCATTTTTATGAACGGCTCAAAAATGGATTGTGGCGCAGGGACGGGAATATTTTCAACCGACCTCCAAATCGAAGAGTCTATTCGATTACCAAATTCGGCAAGTGTTTCTCAGGCAGGGGTCTTTGCCATAAATGAGGCGTGCAAAATAATTTTAGCCCCGAAGCTAGCGAGAACCAGCATTGCTATTTTCTCAGATAGTCAGCCAGCGATCAGGGCACTTGGCTCTGTAAGCATCACCTCCAGCATAATAATAATAACAGTTCAGGGGGAATGTGATGGCGTTAGCTGACAGGCATATCGTTACACTGATCTGGGTAACGGGGCACAGCAGAATTCACAGCAACGAGGTGGCTGACGAGCTATCCAGGAATGGTTCGGATCTGGATATCTCAGAGGCAGAGAAGGTTCTTGTGCCTCGGAGCTATATCAAGAGCCGCATCTCTCAGCACTGAAAAAAGGTGGCTAACAGCAGGTGGAAAAACCTACAATCCTAAGGGGTCGGCAGGGATCTGTGGCCCACCTACGGCGCAAAACGCAAATTAATTAAAAAAAGGGATCTATCTCGACTAGCAGCCCTTCACACAGGTCACTGGGCCATGGAATCCATCCTGAAAGACTAGGACTGGAACCAGCGTTGCCAGGTTACCGTTTCTAACGTCATTTGGACGTTTTTTTGTAACCTATAGACGTTTTGTGTAAAAAATGACGTTTTTTGTGTAAAAAATGACGTCTTTTAACTTCCCAGTAATTTTTGTCTGTTAACAAATCTTGTAAGTAGAACTGATTTTGAATTATTTTCTTAATAAATCTTTACAAGTTTTGTTTTTTGCAGCAGCTGCTTCAACAGATATATATTCTTTGGGCACAGATAACTTAACCCTTATTAAGGCGCATAAGGAAAGAGACAATTAGTCGCATGTGGTCCTCAGTGACCCCAATAAAAGTGTTGAAAAAAGAGTTTTCAAAATACAAAAAAAAAGAAGTGTGTATTAGCAAAAATATTAAAGTACTCTATTATCGTTAACCTAAAAAAAGAAAGACATAATTTCGACTTCAAACTTAAAAAAAATTAAAAACTTATCTCTGCCAAAAAATGTTACGTTAGTAGTCGCATGGGGTCAGCACTCAAGCGAGTAGCGACAAATGTGTGCACCCCGATGTTCTGGCCGTGACTTATTTACGTACCCCACGGGGAGATAGGAAGCTAGAAAGAGCGCGAGCACGCTCCAAGCACTCCAAGACATTTTTTTTTTCAACTTGAAATGGCCTTGACCCTATGGATTCTTGGACTAAGGATCCCGCGTTTAAATGCTGGCTGTGTAAACACTTGAGGTTACGACGTTTATTGCAATGTCTGCAATTGCACATTAAAAGCCAAATCAAGAAGAGCTGATCTATTGCAAAAGTAGGTGACTTTTTTAAGACTTCATTGAAAATGTAATGAAAGCAAAAAGGCTGAAATATTGCTATGTTCCTTCTTGGCAGAACGTAATTTAGCATTTTCGACAACCGACCACTTAACCAAATGTCTACAAGAAAAAAAAATTATTAAAAATCAACGCAATTCTTTAGCACTTTAAAACTTGCACATTATTGCCCTGGAATTTAATGGGATATCTAACTGGATACTCAAAAAAATTCTAAAAAATCTGAATAAAAAGCAGAAAATCTCGCTGAAACTCTCGCAGATTTTTTATAATTTTTGCACAAAGTTTGAAATGTGGATCAATATTTTGTTTGTTATATAATAAGTTAGGCTCTATGGAAAAATAATAAACATTAAAAGAGAAACGGCTAAAATCGATCAAAATGTTGATGACTTAATCAGCTGATCACAAGGGTATGTATAAAATGATTTTTATATTAACGATCTCAAACCAGTTTACAATGAATTTTAAATGTGCTCTGTCGAAATGACATTTTAATATACCTTACGTACATATCGACTGCTGAGTGGAAGATCGACTTATCTCGGCAGCCACTTCGAAAACGCCCTATCTCAAAAAACTTTTCAAGAACGCCCTATTTCAGAATTTCATTGAAAAACAATCTATCTCAGAATTTGGTTGAAAAACGCCCTATTTCAGAATTCGATTCAAAAATGCCCTATTTCACTTCAAAATGTATTGAAAATGTGCTGATATAGGGCGTTTTTGAATCGGCAGCTGAGATAGGGCGTTTTTGAAACGAATTCTGAAATAGGGCGTTCTTCAACCCAATTCTGAAATAGAACGTTTTTGAAAAGATTTTTGAGATAAGGCGTTTTCGAACTGGCTGCCGAGATAGGTCGATCTTCCACTCAGCAGTCGATATGTACCCTTGTATACAAAGAAAGTTTTTTTGTGCATACATTTGAAAAACACGTTTTTGGGTAGGATATGACGTTTTTTCAGACCAAGAGATACGTTTTCTCACGCCGAAGACCTTGCAACACTGACTGGAACACAACACTTCTTGCCGTAGTTGTAATTCATCAGATGCAGAAGAAACGGTGGAGCATCTGCTCTGCGATTGCCCAGCACTATGTAGGACTAGAATTAGGCTTCTAGGCAAACCCTGCTTCTGCAGTTTAACATACATAAGTGATATTAATCCACTGCAACTTCTTAACTCCTGAACTCCACATGCTGGGTTTGAGATAAATAACCAACTTCTGCTGCTATCTTTTCGGGATTTCTATTCAGGTAGTGGTTTTAAAACGGCACGCATAAGTGCTAATTGGGGTTGTTAAACTCGCCACCAACCAACCAACAAGGAAATATTTGTATTTAAGACATTTCAACTATTAAAATGAATCAGAAGCAGGCAAATTTATGGAGTTTTTTTTACTGAAAAATTGGATAAGCAACAAACAATACAAGGTATTTTTTTCCGCTCATCTCTTTTCTTAAGAATCTATACTTCTTTTCCAGTACTTGTAAGTAAATATGTATAAGATATATTTACGATTCTTTAAGAAAAGCAATGTTCCTATCGAACGGAAGCGAGGTGTTTTTACATACATACATATATTGTATATACACCTTTGTACATACACATGTAATTTCGAATTCAATAAGCTACACACAAACAATGCTATTGTCAGAAACCACTTATTTGTTCTACTGTATCGATTATTGTAATCAATTCCAAATAAATACCAATTAAGTAATTAGAATGCGTTCACTTAGTTAGCATTTCATTTGAATAGGTTTCCGAGCCATAAGTCATTCACTTTCTTCACCACTAGCAAGTAATATTCAGCAAGGCAGGAAGAATAATTCTAGGGGAATCGAATTGAGGCCTAGTAGTGTGGCGGCAGCTAGCTAAAAAGTACAAAATAAAGACGACCTATTGGCCTATACCTTAAAACAAACCAAGGTAAGATTATTTTTATATCCGAGCGCACATGTGTACTAGGGTATTATAATTTTGTTCACATAACGGTGGTTTGTAACAGCCAAAACGAATCGAGACAGATATAGACAAATGTATACATAAATGATTAGAATTAAAAGAGAAGACGATTAAGCCATGCCTGTATCTCCGTCCGTCCGTGTACACGATAACTCGAGCAAAAATTACGATATCTTTACTCAGGGTATGTTGGTATTGAAAATGGGCGAAATCGGACTGTAACCACGCCCACTTCCCATATAATCGGACGTGACCCCGCCCACTTATGATAATATGATGTATCTCAGAAGTTAGTACACCAATCCTTGCCAAACTTGGTCCGAGCCTTTCTTAGGGTCCAACTAAGAAATCTGTTGAAAATCACCTCCCACCTAACGGTAATTTACGGAAACACGAAAACTGCGTGAAATCAGTATTAATTATTAAAGGTAATTCATAATCGATGATTGCAGTAATCACTTAGCAGAAAATGTTATAAACTTCTGGAAAATGGGCGTGGCGCCGCCCACTTATGACCACAAATGTGTATCTCGGTAACCGATTCATCTAATTTAAACAAAATTGGTGCACCTTATAACCTTGGTACGGAAAAGCAATTTGTTGAAAATCATTAAAATCGGACTCAAATTACACCCCCCTTCCCGTATAACGGAAGATTTCAAAAAGACGAAAACTGATATTTCAAAAACTGAGGACACTAACAAAAAACAAGACTATTAGGAATTCGCGTAGCACCACCCACTTTATGACTACAAAGGGGTCTCTCAGTAACCGATTTATCGATTTCTACTAAACTTGGTTAAATGATTTCATTAAGTCAGCATTTTATCGAAAACATTTGAAATCGAGGAAAACACCCCTGCTTGTCATTGCAAAGGTACTTGAGAGAAAGTTTAACAGGCCTCTACGTTGGTAACAAAAATTTTGTTACCGGTAAATAAAGTTCCTGGTAATTTTTAAACCCTTTTCCCATTCTGCGCACTGATAAATTTTGGGACCATCTCATAAGCAGGTAACAAAATATTGCCCCGTGAAGTATGCCACAAAATAATTTATACAAAACTTCATAGCTGTATTGCCAATATATTAAATTGTTACCAAGGTACTTAGAATTGCGGTTACAAGAAGTGGTGTTATTATTTGGTTACAACGGTGTCAAAATGTTCAGTAACAAGCAGAATTGGCCTGTAAGCGACGATATTTGATACCTGCGCCGGGTATATAAAATTCGGTTTCGCCCGGACTTATATTTCTTCACTTGTATTACGAGGGATTATGTCACTATATAAGAAGTATCATATATCCAAACGAAAAGGCGATAACCGAAAGCAAACCGAAAGAATTTGGAATGTGCAAGGGTAATGATAAAAGTCATTTTTATCAAACCATTGTCATAGAAGCTGACTTTACCTGCAGTATTTTTATGCCAAGGCCTATAAGCGGTCTAATGCTACCACATTTTAGAGATGGGCACGTGAGTGATTTTGGCTGACGTTCACGCACGCTCACGTTGATGGTTTTGTGAATCACGCATATTCACGTCCTATATTATCTTTTTCAATCACGTTCATGCACGCGCGTGACGCCTAGTTTTTTAATCACGCACGCTCACGGCCGTTTTTTCATGGAACTTTATTTGTATAAATAGCATTTCATCTAAATAGGTTTTAATAACACAGGTATTGTTACAAAAGCTTGACCAAACGCCTTACATGGGATGAACGCACTATTATTTTTCTGTTTTACAAATTTCGGATGAACATACATAAGTATGTATAACGAGTATAAAAAAGAATTCACATGAATATTCATTCAATGTAATTTTAAAATGACATTAGCTCATATTTTTGTATAAAAATAAATTTTTGTCGAGGTTTTCACCAAGCAGTCGTGTACCTTTTTCTCCTAGAATTCTGCTTGACACAGAAAAAAACTCGTTCACTAGTTGCTGAGTTAGCTGGTATTTAGATTGCCTTGAAAGGCTTCTAAGAAGTGGTAAATATTTAGTTTTCTCTCAAAATTTTAAAACGTCGTCACAACTTTTGCTTTCTGCTTTTTTTCAAATAAATCTGTGTTTCGGCATTAATGTTTTCAAAAACCGTTTCTGCAGATTCATCCGTTGTACCTTTTAACTCTATAAAAGTATACACAGTAATTAAGTTAAACAGTAGTTACTATTTTATTTTGGTTGAAAATAAACATACATACATAAATATGTGAAAATTACGTGATTGACAATAATAACATAAACGAAAATAACGCAGACTTTGCTTTATTTCACTTCTAAATGGGAAATAATACCAAAATCTGAGTTTTGCTTTGTTTCCACCAAAAGTTGGAAATATGTAAATCAAATTTGGCCTTATATCCCATTGCTTATTTCTATTATTTGCGACTAAAACAGTTTACTGGCAGAAGGAAAAATAACTTTGGTTATTCCAAAAATACAATTAAATAAAAAATGTGATAAAATTCATATGAAGAAAGCACTATTCTAATAATATTTTTACTTATGAAAGGTCTAATAAAATATAGGGAAAGCGTCATCTTTAATAACTGCTTGGCAAATTGCACATTGCTGGAAATCCTTAAAATGTTTGCATGGAACCACGGTGCAATAAAAAGGCAGTGTTGCCACAAAAAAATTACCAAATTCCTCAAAAACAAACGAAAAATCCTCAAAATCCGAACAAATTACTCAAAATTTTCTTATTACAGATATGAGTATTGTGTACTATTTACAGGGACTAAGTATAAAAATTAATTACGTTCTCCAATTCAATTGGTACATTTGTTCATGCGGTTCAAACAAAGTATCACCGTTATTTTTTATGCCTTGGTTTGTATATAATAATGCTGCAACTATATCAGAATCTTTTAATTCAAAAACTTTTCAGAAACAAAGAGAAAGAAAATAACAGATTTTTACCTACCTGCGAATCAATGCAACAATTAATCAAGAAGAAGTGAACAGTTGATTTCTACCTGAGGGTGTATGCACAGAACAAAAACCACTGGTTGAACGAAAGAATATAATCCGCTGAGACGCACCTAACTAAGAACCAAAGACGATTTAGCACGACTATAAACAGTGACGGACAAACAGAAACTATTCAGATCGGCACAACGCCGAACCCGGTTTGTCTCCAAACCAAATTTGACAAGGGATGACGGAAAATCGTTCCACATTACATCACACTCCTACCCTGTCGGAAACACCCACAAAGAAAATGAGAACAAACACTTTTCCTATAATTTTCAGAATCTAATGAGGAATCACTATGAATATAATTATGATCGAACAATGCGCGTTCTCTCCATCCGTTACCGAGATTTTGCAAGTTTCAAATATAACGATGGAATAAAAAAAAGTTATCGATAACATTTTTAATATTTAGCAGCAAATGCAGATGTGCTTAAGAGCGAAAAACACCACACAAACGGGTTGACAAACAAAGCGAAATATAGCTTTCCTTAAAGCTACTTATGTTGTGTATGGGGGTGTTTGAAGGTTTGACAAGCCGTTTGAGGAAATTGTGAACAAAAATTAAAAATTTTTGGATTTTCTGGCCGCCATGTTGACATTTGATCAAACCGCTTACGTTGTATATGATAAAATCGCCCCATTCGCAACGAAATGAGGACGCGAGAGAGATGAATCAAAGAAAACCAACCCCTTTTACATTGTGAACCGGAAGCAAACTGAAATTGCTTGAACGAGTTATGTTTACATGGTGTATGGCGAAATGGGAAAAGTAGGTTTGAAGAATGTTTCACAAGCCACTTGTGTGGTGTATTTCCCTCTTTATAAAACTTCGGAAAGCTTTTTATTCAAAAATTTGCCGAGCGATTTAACAACTCTCTTGTGTAAAACATGGCTGCATTTGTTATCTGCAAATATATCGAGAGAAAATTCCTCAAAATAAAAATCCTCAAAAAACACTCAAGCGCACTCGAAATTCCTCAAGTTTTGAGGAATTACTCACAAAGTGGCAACACTGTAATCAGGTGAAGTACAAGACATATCAATAAAACAGCTTTATCGCTTTATTTTCTGACCTTCGGCTGCCTTATAGTCAAATTTTAAAGGCAATTTTTCAAATAAGGCAGTGCCAAAATCTTCCTTCTCGCTCTGATTACTTCACCTGGTATAATTCCGCCATGGCTTGGAACCATGGTACAATAATTACAGGTATTGTCTTCCCAGAGAGCTCATATTCCGATCTGCCTTATTTAAAAAATATCATTGTTGCCAACACTAAAAGGTTAACTGCTAGGGAAAAGGGATATTTCCACACCCCATATACCATAATGTTCACGTATTTTTTTATACAAACCATCTTGCAGAGAACTTATTTAATTTGCAAAAGCCGGGAAAAAAACATTCGTAAATGAATTCAAAATTTATATGGCTCACTTAATTTCAAACGTTTTTTCGTTTATTTTGCAAAATCATAAAAATGAAATTGAGCGAAAACAAAAAGCAAAGCCAAATAAAAGTAAAAGAATCAACATTGAAATGCGTCAAAATGGAAATAAGGGAGCACGAATTTCGATGTGAAGCAAACCTCTCTGGGAAGACAATACCTGTAATTATTGTACCATGGCATAGAACAAACAAGAGTTGCCGTTCCTGTTCGCAGCATATAACACAGAGAATATTGTTTTGAGTTTTATCTTCAGTTAAAATTTCTGCCCGAACACAATGAAAATGACGACCTACGGACCACAGATGCTAAATTATTTTAACACGTACTCTTATGTAGATAATTATTTTGGCGACGACCGGGCTACGCGACGACTGTGGTTGTGGCCAGATTAGATCTATTTCTATTTTTCCAGCGACAGATAAGGTTCTTCTTCTTCTTTTATGTCAAACTCATACAAATTCATGATGTCGTTGCCGCGTTCAAAAAAATCATGTCATCATCTACAAAGCGTTTAGATAATGAAGATAACAAAGTGGAAGCTGTGGCCCGTAGCTCGTCGTTTCCAATGTGTTCAGAACTTTATCATCAATTGCTTCACTATATATACGAACTGTGAATTTCGTTTACGAAGACGAAGCGAACATGTGGTACGAAATAGGGATGTTACGAATGCGGAATTTTAGACATCCGCGGATGCGTATGCGGATGCGGATGTCTAATAGCTAACATCCGCGGATGCGGATGCGAATGCGGAGTACAAGTACAAGAAATACTTAGAATCTAGCATAATGCGGGATCGTTGTTTAAACGGCACTTATAAGCCAAACAAGATGTGCCAGGTTTTTCTAAAGCTAAAAGAATTCTTCATTCTCATTCCTTTGGCTGTTTCAGAATTTGGGGAATCTGTAACTTCATGAGCGTGTTTCGATTTTAGTTTTTTCATTTGCATTTTAGCATTTGAATCTTAGATAGTTACGTAATTCTTATCTAACTAAAGGTCAATCCTATAGCTTTTTAATTATTTGAGCTTCGATTCTCTTTATAGCCAGACGTTGATCATTTCTGCTGAAAATCCCTATTGGAGGAGCTTACTCTTTGACTTTAAATAGCAAAGAAGGGAGACGTATGGGGACAGTTTTACCACAGAAGTTTTTATCCAAGGATCCAATGTATATCCCTATGAAAAAATATTGCCCGACAAGAAAACAAAATTACCGTTTTTAAAATTTTTCCTAAAAATAAATTCCCCAAACAGCCCCATTTGAAATGTTTGGAACGAATATACGTATGTAAATAAAATAAAATCACGAAAATTTGGTTAAGAATTACAGTGCACACTTTCTTCTTTTATGTCTTGTAGTTTTTAAGATTGGTCCAAAATAATCATACACCCCTATGCTGTAATCCGTCGTAGATTCGATTTTGCTACGAATCATAAAATTGGTTTGCTGAAATCCGTGTTTTCGTATCGTAGTTTCAAAATTCTTAGGCCATCTTCGAAATTCGCAATGTTGGTATGCCTGAATTCGACGTAGCTGTAATTTTTATGTATTTGTCGGAAATTTTGTACGAATAGCAACTCGTGTCGGAGCGAAACAAATTGTATTAAAATATCAATAAAATAAAGTGTGTAAACGCAAAAATATGTATGTAAATTGAAGTGTGAATAAAAAAAAATTTATTATTAAATGTTTACAAAATTATCAAGTCGAAGATCACAACAAATCGCTTGCAATACGAAAAACTGGTGGAATGCATGAGCGAAAGGCCGGACATTCCCCGAGGCTTTGTAAAAGTAGCTAAAGAGGATGTGGTGGAATTTTGGGAAAGCGTTGCAAGAATTAAAGGAGCACAATATCTAGTTGAATGGAGGCCCTTAAAAAGAGGGAGCATACATTTATCATTTAAGCTAAATGGATCAGAACTGTCTCGTAGCAATCTCCTTTGTATATTAATGCCACAGTTGGCTGCAGCACGTTCTTTCTCCTGAGACAAAAGTGCACCGGCCACTGAATCCATTATATGTATTTTACTTAATTAAGGAAAAGCCTTTTCAAATACCATTAAACAATCTATTTTTTTAATTTCACTGTTCACTTGCGATTATATTTATTTTGATTTGTTTCTGTCTTCTTTTTTGGCGCTATAACCGCCTAAGCGATTTTGGCCGAGTTCATTCGTTTCTCCTCTGTGCCAATTGGAAGCGCCAAGTGAAGCCAAGTCCTTCTCCACCTGATCTTTCCACCGCAGTGGGGGCCTCCCTCTTCCTCTGCTACCACCAGCGGGTTCCGAGTTGAATACTTTCAGAGCTGGAGCGTCGGTGTCCATTCGAACGACATGGCCAAGCCAGCGGAGCCGCTGTATTTTAATTCGCTGCACTATGTCCATGTGTTGTAAAGCTCATACAGCTCATCGTTCCATCGTCTGCGGTACTCGCCGTCGCCAACGCGTAAAGGCCCGTAAATCTTCCGCAAAATCTTTCTCTCAAACACTCCAAGAGCCGCCTCATCGGATGTTGTCATTGTCCATGCTTCTGCGCCATATACCATCACGGGCATGATGAGTGACTTATAGAGCGTGGTTTTCGTACGTCGTTGATTAAGAACTTCGAATTTCACTATTTTGGTTGGCAACGCCGTTGACAGTTACGATCGGATTACAGCATACCAATTTTCGGAACGGAGCTACGGATTCGTAACTACGAACTTTCGGATTACAGCTAGGGTTGCCAGATTTTGAAACGGAGAAAGGAGTACATTTATATTTTCGATAGAAAAAAAGCATTACATGACATAAAAAAGGAGTACAATTTCTTTTTTTTTAATATTTTGTGCAAAATGTGAAAAATAAATAAACTATATGGGTTGGCTTTCCAATAGGGACGGTTGTTAAAGAGATGGGGATCGAAGGGGGAGTGGACGTGGCACCTTTTCCAGCCTTTTTGGAGAGGGCATGAACCGCCATTGACTAAAATGTTACTCCCGACCACCTAGGGCCCTATGGGTCCCCAGGGACCCCTTAGAAAAATTGCCAAAAGTCATAATTTTCACTTGCGTACACTGTATTTTTGCGTAGAATTCGGTTCTCAATGACCGCCCTTATAGGAAAGTTTCCCCAACTAAAAAACTAAAAACTACAAAAGAATTCCAGACTCTTCCTGAATGTATAATTTATTTAATATTTTTCTGTTTTTATACCCGAGTGCCCTGTCACCTGTTGTTATACCCGAAGGCCATGCTTACACCTTTTCACTATCAAAATTAACTTTGCTTACTAAGTAGTGTTTGCCACAACATGAATACAAAGTACAGAGCGTAAAATAATAACTGTCGCACAGGTTTTTTGAAAAATAAAAGGGTTCTTTATAGATTTTGAGTTTTTTTTTTGTTAACTTTGTAAATATTTTACTTAAATTTTATTAATTGGTTTTAAAATTTTAATCCTGATTTGCATTTGCCAGCTTTGGGACGAACCACTTTTTCAGGTGTATTTTTTCTTAGATTTTGTATAAAAAAAAGGAAAAAAAACCTGTATAGGGTTGGTCGAATGAATGCCTTCCTAGTCACCAATTTCGAGTCAAAAGACGGAGTATAAAGGACCCAAATGGGGGAAATTAGCCTATGGTTACAGAAGATATGTAATAAAGTAACCGACGAAGACTTGCGCTTTTCTCCCAAAGTGTTTTTTTTTTTTCAAAATAAAAAAATAGGGGTATATTTTTTTCGATATAGAACAATCCTAGGGTATGCCGGCATAAAAATTCCGACCTTATTTTTTTACACTTTAAGGACCACTTTAATGTACATTCATGTACGATAGATATTCTTTACGAAATATACTCAGAAGTATTACTTTTATATAGGGTGGCCAGATATTATAGGGACATAATCAGTACAGTTGGGGTCAAAAATCAGTACAAAGCCATAAAAGTCAGCTCATTTTTAAGCGTATTTTTTTATTAACAATATAACAACCAAATAACAGCGCATTAATTAAAAAAAAAAATAACTAATAGACTTTTAAATACGTATCGTCACTATACACGAATAAAGGCGCGATAGTGTTTTGACGGCGAAAAAAGGCGCGTAAAAAAATTAAGCGAAAAAAAATGCTTATGAAAAATTTCGGCGAAGTATGTTAAGAGTTTTTGACTCTAAAGTTTTTTTATGCGTCTTTTTTCGCCGTCAGCTTTTGAGCTCGCGCTTTTATTCGTGTCCAGTGACGGTATAGTATTATCAATACAAAAATTCATTACTTTAAAACAAATCAATGGTATTACGTATGTATGTACAGCTGTGCTCAGGAAAACAGTAGTAAAATATATTGACAGGTTTTGAAAATTTTTTCTTT